CCAGAGAATACAGTGTAAAAGAAATTGCCACTAAGTATGAGAGAATGGATAGCATTGCTAAGCAAAAAGCTGAAGAACTATCACAAGTAATATATAATAGTTATAGCAATACAAAGTACTTGTTCTCCTCTCCTCTAGTCTCTTATGATTGCACAGCACACTGCTCAGCTCCGAGACTCAATTAAAGGAAGCTACTTATCTGCAAAGTAGGTTGTATGCATGCATAACCGAATGAGTATAGATCTAACTTTAATTGTAATTTTATATGGACATAACATGATCTAATAATAACATATCAGTAGTAATGTGTGAACTGGTAATTTCTTTATTAATATAGCTTATTTAAGGAAGGAGAGAAACATGCGAGACAGTACACAGCCTTAGAGGGAACGAGCAAGAAGAGACTAAGACACAGTTGGGATCCTATTCACCATCAGTCTACTGTTGTACTAGGATAAATGATCTCTATATCACGCCTCCAAAATCATTCGTAACAAAATGCTGTAATTTCTAAACAAAGAACAAAAATAATTATGTGTATTAATGTATTATTTTAAAAACTAATTATTGTAATAGTTATAAATAGTTATTAATTGTAATGTTTGCCACGCCTACTTTTATGTCGCGAAGGGATATTTTCCCTCTATCTTCTTTTGCCCTTTGGAATTCATTTCTCAACCTCATCTTGTAGAAGCTCTTGTCCGTGTAAACAAGCTTGTCGGCATGACGAAGGGATTGGCGGTAAAGCTTCAACACTAATTCTCTGGAAGAAGGAACGGTAGCCATGCTGTTAGACAGCGGTACGCCCCCACGTGCTGCTCTCCTCCGCCCCCTCCCTGATGACCCCGACAGTTCGACACACATTTTTTGGTAAAACAAGAAAAGAGAGGGAGCTAACGAGCTGTTTTGTTTTCTTTTGTAGAGCTACCAGCTGAGAACTAGACTAGCAACTCCACTTTTTATTGCCGACAGTAGCACTCTAAATCTTATCCTCTTTTATCTCCATTGTTTCCAGCTGTAAAGGTTTGTATTGTCATCATTTGCCAATGTTTTATGCCTGCTTCCTCTCTGCAGGTTTATCTATCACCCACTGCCAACAATGGCTGGCTATAATGCTGAAGAAGTGGGCAAGAATGATTTCGTCCTCCTTGACGACATCTCAATGTCTGCCTTCATGAACAACCTCCAGTTACGCTTTAAGAAAGGAAAGATATACACTTACATTGGTGAAGTGGTTGTGTCCATGAATCCTTATCGCCCGATGAACATATACGACAGACAGTACATACAGGATTACAAAGGGAGAGAGATGTACGAGAGGGAGCCGCACATATTTGCCCTCTCTGATGCCGTCTATCGTAACATGAAAAGAACAGGGCACAACAGCTGTATTGTCATATCAGGTATGATGTGGACATGGAGGGAGGGAGGGACTACTGATGATAATAATAATTACTACATGGGAGTACTAAAGTGGTATCTTTATCAATATTTATTTTGCTATTTTGCATACTTTTTGTCTTGTCTTTGGTACTTGTTTTTTATGTGTATGGTCTTTCTTTGCCCCTCCTTATGTTTATATGTAGCTTCCATCAGCTTCCATGTATATATATGATTTCTCCTTCCTCCAGTCACATACTCTGTATGCTTTCTCTCTCTTTTCTTATACTAATAATTATCATTCACATATACACTCATTATTTTGTATGCACATACAATCCAGTCTCACTCTCATGTGGTCAAACACTTACCATTCTCTCATTGGCTTCTTATCCTAATAGTAAGCCAACACCTCATACTGCCTGGCTAATGTCCCATGTAGCTTTCTTACCTATTTTAGTCATATCTCTATAGCCACACGTACTTCATGATTTCGTATTTAATTATGTGCATGTATATAGTCTCCACGATCCTGTTCATGCCCAGCTGTTTCTTGTTTGTCCTCTCCCGCCTATTAGCTTAGTCTCAATATGGAGGGGAGGTATGTATGTACATGTAATTATATGACCCACAAGTCTTAAATTGGCATTTTATTCAATTTATACCATTTGTTTGCTTGTTAGTGCATGTAATGATGCAATAAAGTACTTGTAAGTAAATGTTCATAATTGTCTCTGCTATATTTATTGTTTAATGATAAAGCACACCCATTTTTCTATGTACTGCACATGTACTATGGAGTT